CGATAGGAAGCACCTGGGGGTGCAGCTGACCTCCGCAGCCCAGCACCGCCCTGTGATGGCACCGCCCTGCGGTACAGCAGCGGCCTTCCCTTTCCTGCTTGCTTACGGAGCCTTTTCATAACATCTCTGAGCAAGCCCGTTATTTATCAGGGTAAAATTGGCTATCCAGAAAGGTATGAGTCTGCTCAGGGTCAGGAAGACCGCAAATACCCATTTTCTAGTCCTGACCCTGCAAACCTCCTGGATGATAAGGCTGTCAGCTTTGTAAGCAGGCATCACCACACAACAAGAAGACAATTACAGAGAGGGAACATTTCTCCTGGGCTCCACAATTCACCAGCAGGTGTGAGTGCCACTAACCTCACAGGGAACGGGGCAGGTGGACTGGGGGATGCGCTGTTCCCTGTATGAGCATTGCAGTGTTACTGGGACTGCTGGGGAGACCTCTCCCCTCCCCTGGGAAAATGCTGTGAGAGGGCACGGGGCTGCCCCGCAGCTCGCAGTGGCTGGCCCTTGTAGCTGGATCATTCTTTGGGCTTTTCCAGTGGAAGACACACAGAGGAGCCACAAAATGAAGCGAGTCTCCTTCCCAACAAAGGCTTGTACACTAGGATTTACCGACTGTCCATGCGGAGGGGAGGTTTGTAAGAAAAAAAAAAAAAAAAACTTGAATAAAAGACCTGCTTATCCACCAAGCTTGAAAAGCCTGTTAAAAATCTGTGTTCATTTGTTATTTATTGCCATGAAATATTTGTCTGACATTTCTAATCACAGCCAATACCTCCACTGTGACTTAAAGCTTAATTGCTTGAACTTTTCTGCTAGCGACGGGCTGATGCTCTGACCTTCTCCTTGCAGCAGCAATCAATTTACAGCACAGCAGCACTGCCTTCTGCCAGAGCCCAGTGAGCAGAGAAGTACCCATGGGCTTTTCTTTAGGGTTTTGCTGGCAGAGCGCCCTCAGGGCAGGTAGGCAGCAGAGGTGCTGCTGCCCCTTGACATGGCTCAGCTGAGGGCTGCGCCGTGCCCTGCTCCCCATGCCCTGTTGCCCTCCTGCTCAGCCCCGAGGCCAGCGGGTGCCCACATGGCCCCTGCAGCATCCTGGTCTCGGGGCTCCCCTGCTAACGGCAAAGCAGAACTTTGGCAGCAGGGAAGGAGGAGCTGCCCTCTGGCATGCTCCAAAAGGCTGGATGCTGTATCCTGAAACTTCGCTACCTTCAGACCGGTCTTTTCCCTCCCATCAGATACGTTTTGTGTCTGAACACGGTCATGCAGTGTTTCCGTGCCACTGGCCTGATGTCACATTTCACTATGGACAAGTAAGGAGAGAGGCCTCGCTGCTGCAGTGAGAGCAGTCCTGCTTGGCAGACACGGTACCATTCTTCCTGAGACATGTTTTCCCCCACTGTTTAGAGTGCCTTCAACCAGAAACCAGCAGCCCTGTTTTACAACACAGTGGGTGCTGGGTGTGCCACTGCCCCCTGGCTCTTCAGCTGCTCAGCACCACGTGGAGGTGCCCAGGGACAACATGTGAGGCTGGCCGTGGTGTCTCAGGGTATCACCATCTCAGGGCTGGTGAGTTCACAAAGGGGAGGTCCAGCCCCTGAGACAGGTTTGAGACCCAGCCCCATGCCATGCATCACCCCCAGCCCCACCGCTCCCTCACTGCCCCTGCCCCCAGGCGATCCCAGCCGCAGCTCAGCATTTGGTTCAGTTTGGGTACGGGGGACGCTGTGGCATCCGCCTTTCCCTCCCGACCCTGTTCCACAATGATTCACGGGGATGGAGGAGCTGAGCAACAGGCAAGAGGATGATTTGCCTTGTGAGGGTGATTCAGCCTCTGCAGGGTGGTGACAGAGTGAGCAGAGCTATTGTTTCTCCCCATCAGCTGGTGACAAAAGGGTTCTTGCCCCTTTTATGACATTTCATTGTAGAAGAACAAATACGTGTAACAAAGCAATGCGTAAAACAGTGATGAGTGAAGTCCCTGCTTCAGGGAACACCCTCCAGTTTTTCTCAGCCTATCCTGAACACCAGGACAGCTCCCTGCGAAGCAGTCAGCCCTTCTCTTGCCTGAGGATGCTTTTGTTGTGCTGTGCATCCCAGGAGCAGCTCAGTGTGCCGGGGACAGGGGCTGGCTCAGTGGGTGCAGGCACAGGAGCCGTCTGGTGAGGCAGCTCTGCCCTGGCAGCCTGGGAGTGCCACACCAGCCACCCATGCTGACCACATCAGCAAATTCCTGCACCTGTATGTCACTAGTCATCCTAAAGGCGTGCACGGCATCACCTTGACAAAGTGGTTAATTTGGCACAAGGTGCAGTCACTGAGTTGTACTAATGCAGCAGTGAGCAAGCAGCAAAGGAGATTCAGCTGTTAAGGATCGGCATGCACACAAAACAGGAAAGCAAATCTGCATATGTACAGTAATTTGTACCAAAAAGCCAGCTGCACGTTCAGTTCATGCTCAGTCCTCCCACCTGCACTGAACCTCCCCTGTATTTTAACCAGTCCAGCAGAAATGTGGACTCACAGCTGTGAATCCCATGCACAGATGGAGGTGTGGGGCAGGGGTAGGGGCAGGCGGTGCAACTCACCACGGCAGAAACCACCTCTGACCCACAGCTTGACTGCCACGCTGCTGCTCGTGCTTCTTGAAAAGGGCAGCGCAGAACTGCAAGGAGAGCAGAGGTGTGCTGTGACCGTCACCTGGGCTTTGAACGGCTCCAAGTAAGGAATGGCTCGGTAGGTTGGGACAGTGCTACGGACTGGGAAAATAAATGGCCCAGGGAGAGTATTAGAGAACTCTACTAAACCCTACGTGCTGTGATGATAGGATGATAGGGAATGAATATCCTCTGCCTCTTCTAACAGGAGGTTTGGGGGCATCAGGTGAAACTAGCAGGAGCCCATTCACAACAAGTAAGGAGATGCTCTTTCAATAAATCCATAGCTGAGCTGTGAAACTCTGCCGTGTGGCATAGCAGCTGCCCAAATTTTACAAGGGTTCAAAAAATGATTCACTGGATTCATGGAAGACAAAAACGGGCTGTCACAAATTCAAACACAATGCCAGCACCAAATGTCTCCAGATGCAGGGAGGACACACATCTCCACCAGCTCTCCTGGACATGTCCTCTCCCCTTGGCATGCCCAGGGGAGATGCACCACTGCTCTGACTCACTGCGGCTGTTTCCATGCCCCTTTGCTGCACATAGGTGTGAAGTTTACAGGTTTCTGCATAAACAATACACAGCTTTTCAACAAAAGCTGCCAGATCAGTTACTACTCCAATATCACTAATGTCAAAATTAACAGGAAACCAAACCACAAACCACTGCATCAGCATCTACTGACTTAACTTTTTCTTCTCCTGGTTCCTCACACTTTACATCTTGAACATTTGCATTGTAGATGAAGTCCTAGGAGCCGCGTGTAAGATTAAAGCACGGATTGATAGCAGCTTCTGGATATTCAGGCAGCAGTAATAAGTGTGCTATTGACAGTGAATATTCATGTGGATAGATCAGCTTGGAGGATTAAAAGACACATCCTAGAGGGGTGGATATAATGCAAGCAGGGGCAATCAAGTAAATGAACCAGAAAAGGTGCTGCTTTATTGGCCCTTTACAGTCACTGTCTCCAAGTCTCATTCAGCTCATAATTACTGCTGCCGGAAGATAACAGCTATTAGCAGGCTGCAGAGCCCCGGGCCCTTTGAAGTCCTGAACAATAGACCACAGGAGGTGATAAGGTGCCTTCCTCATCTTCACCCCAGTCTACACCTTCCCCGGGTCTTGCAAACCGCTGACGGCCGTTTCCACCAGCAGCTTTCCCCTTTGCCTTTGATCACAGCTGCCCTTGTGATAGCTTCAAGGAGGAGGTTTAATTTAGGAGAATAAAAATCATTTGCTGCCTGAGCAAATCCGAACAGCCCCGAGGGAGGCAGGGAGGAAGGCGAGCAGGTCGACACTGAGCGAGCCCCTGCCACACTCACGGCCCAGCTTGGCTTCGCCTCGGCCATGGTTTGATGAAGTGGGAAGTAAAGGAGGGGCCTCATCCTCAGCTCCAGCAGAGGTGAAACACAGAGGGAGCAGGCAGCCAGCACTGCTGTCTCACTGAAACCTTTGGTCCAACAATATCTCAAAATTTAAACCAACGAGGCTCTTTAATTCAAGTGTGTTTTCCTTAATTACTTACAAAGAGCCTCATCTTGTACACAGCAAGAGCCATAGCTATGTCCTAATTTCTGCATAAGATAAGGACACCGTTTAACTGCTTGCTGTGTGGTTTTGCTCTCATTTCGTCCCGTTAAGATTTCAGAACATGGCAGCGCCGTTTTAGCACGTGGGATGGCTATAAACAGATGTTTTGTTGGCCTGCCCACGGCCAGCTGATTTCATCTGTTTTGTCTAGGACTCTGCAGCAACAGTAATAAATGACTCACCCTGAGCACGGGGTTTTTGTGCTTTCTGTGTGCAGAACTCCAGGGAGGATGGAGCTCTCCGTACCTGACACCTGTCGGGTGCAGACCAGGTGGTGCTTCCTGCACCGTTTTTGCACAGCACCCCTTTGCACTCTGTGAACCTGCATCTTTGAGGATGCAGAGATGACTTTCGTCTCTTTGTAAGTGTTATCCTAATCAGCCACCTGTGACCAGGAAGACAAAAGCACCCATGGAGTGTCAGGTCTGACTTGTCTCAAACAGCCGTGGCATGTAATCCCTTTCACAAGCAGTAGGGCCCAGCCTGTGCTGGTTCCATATGGAAGCTGCTGCAGACACCCACAGTTTGGATGGAGAGAAGCCTTTTTTAGGGGAAAAACAAACAAACAAACAAACAAACAAACAAACAAACAAACAAAAAATAGCATCACAAGCCAGAGTTTTGATTGTGGCCAGATGATACCAATTTGTTCCCGTGGCAATGCCAGCCCAGGTGCTCAGGTGCCCCTTGGTATATGAGCACCCTCTGCTGCCAGCTTCCCTTTCCCCAAAGAAGAAGGGAGGCTGCTGGGGAGACCACCTGCACCCCCAGCTGGTGCTGCCCAGGTGAGTGGTGACCAGGTGACAGCAGCATGGTGTGGGGCTCTGCAATAGCAGGAGCTGGGACTGCCACATCTTTGTCTCAGGGAGAGGCAGTGAATGTTTCTGGCCTCTGAAGCAGTGCTTTGCTGCAGCCTGAGTAAGGCTGCCCTTTGAACGGTGCTAACCCAGATCTCCTGTATGTGTGTGTTGGTTGTAGACCTTGTTACTTGCTTTGCCACCTCTCCCTGCATCCTGGGGGCTGGTAAAGACACTCAGCTCTGGTCTTGTTCCCTGCTTCAGCAGATTTAAGAATTCTGAAACAACCCCACTGGGTCTCTAGGGAGGTATTAAAGAGAGGGGGGGAAAGAAGCACCTCCTCCCCAGCCATGCAGCCCCATATCTTGAACACTTTAGGATAACACAAATTTTTCATGGGTGTTGGAAGCTGGTTGTTCACCATAGCCTTGACTTCAAAGCTGAATCTACCTGTGCCTGGTCTGGACAACCAGTCCCCAGCTGCCCACATGATGTGATTTCATGGCTCTGCTGGAAGGCCTTGCTGCCAGCCTTGAGATGCCATGGGCTGGCTTCCAGCTCTCTGGGATGGGCATTACCTGGCCTCCCCTCTTTTACCACGTTGAACTCCTCAATTTGCCTTTTACTCCATTGTGTTTGTTTTCTTGTCTAAACATTCACTCCCTGTAGCCTTTCCCCACATCTAGTATCATCATTGTAGAGGAGACTAATTAAAGCTTCCAGACCCTTCTTGTGGGTCTGGAAGATCTCTAGTTCTCTTCCCAGCATCATTGTACCACAGCCTCACTTTTCTCCTTGCTTTCATTTGCCTGCATGGCCAAAAATGTCTGTGTTAATTACTGATTACCTTGCTTGCAAGCCCAGCACTGCCCACTGCTCCACCTCTCCACCTGGCCATGGGCTGTGCAGCTCTGCAGGGCTCCCTCCCCACCAGCTGGCAATGGCAGTGCTGATTTCTCTCATCCTACCAGCAGGCTGGTTTTCCTCATTATTTTGAGTCCTCTTTGCTTGGGCTGTACAGCCCAGAGCTGCTCAGACACTCTTGGTGCTGCAAATATCCCCTGTGCTCCGGAGCTGCCTGCAGCTCTTCTGTGTGCGAGCTTTCCTTGCACCTGCCCTGCTCTGATGTTCCCCTGCTTCTGTTACTTTGCCAAAAGCCTGCCTTGCCTCAGAAAGTGATCGCCTCTCATCCCAAGGGTGCTGGGATGTTGGTGACCATGTCCAGCCCTGTGCTGGGGGCATGGGGCTCAGGTGTGGGTCAGGCAGGTGGGCTGAGCTTGTCTCCTCCCAGATGCTGTACAGGGGCCCAAACCAATGTCTTTGAACTTTAGAAAATCCTTTTTCCATATTAAACCTCTTGTTCCTTTATCAGCCTGGAGCTTACCCTGAACCCCAGATCTAGTTGCTTCCACAGTTTTACAGCTCTGTAAGCCTGCAGTTGCACGATGCTCAGAAAAATTAATTGCAAAAGTCAGCACATAAATTATTCAGCTCAAAGACCTCAGCTCCTTCTTGTTCAAAAGATGCACGCTCACAAACATCAATGTACAAACAGCAGAGTCCTGGGGGGCAGCTGGCTGCAGAGGGGCCTCTGAGGCAGGAGAGGGGTGATTCTTGCTGGAGGTGCCTCTGCGTGGGAGGGAGAGGGAGTAAAGCTCTAGGTAGGCTCAAACTTTGTACTTTTTGCATAGTTTTCAGCACTGTTATTCATATAGTCACTGACTTCTGCTCCTTCATTTGCTGTCTTAGTACAAAAACTGATTATGTTGAGTGCTGCTTTGCCTAAAAATTAATCTGAACTACTGATGGAACAGTGACAAGGACTCATTTTTTAAGCATTCTTTTAGCATCTCCTTTCGTCTGGTAGTCCAAAAATCTGTTACCACCTGGAGAATCCAGTGATGGTGCCTCCATGCCATGTGGCTGCTTGTCCCTGTGCATTTATTTCTGTGCTCTGGGTTCTCATTCTCTTCAATGGCTGATGCATGAGGTAGGAAAGGAGGGGGCGAAATGAATAAATCAGAATAATGAGGAAGGAAACTTGTTCCATTTTCATTCAGAGTTTTGAACAGCCCATATGAAAACCCTTTTTTGATGAAACTCAGTGTATGAGCACTCTTTCTCAGCAAAGAAACAGTATTAATAGACAATTGCAAAATTTTCTTTCCACAGGAAAGGGCCTTGCAGCCTGAGGCAACATTTCCACAGTTTTCCAATGGCTCTGGTCACTTATAATGGGTTTTCTCTATTTTATGTAGCTGTGGTCTGGCACATTGTATGACAGGGAAAAATTTCAAGTTATGGTTTGCAGACGTGGGTTTACTCAATAAGTCCTGTGCAGACAGAATAATAACTGCCTGTCTGTTCTGCACTGGAACAACTTCCTGCTCAAAACAGCAGACTTTGAATGTCCTTGGGCTCTCTAAATGCAGGATGGTTCTGTCCTCTCTGACATGTGAAAATATACATTGAGTCTTTTGACCCCTGGTCTCGGGACAAAGTGTGAAGTCCTCTGAATCTTATTTTTAGCTGACTTCTACGGTGGTCAGGCAATAAAGACCTCTCGTTCCTTTTGTGCTTCAATCCGTGCCTGGGCCACTTACAGGCTTCCCACACATCTTGAAAATAAACACTGCAGAAAATGATTCTCGTGTCAAAGGTATGAAAAGCAAAGCTGCTGCTTTCTTGCTGTGCTGGTCTGGGAGGAGTCAGGCTGCCTGGAAGGATGGCTTCGCACGCTGCAGCCAGGTGGTGTGCTCTCTGATCTGCTGCTGCTGATATGCCTGTGCTTGTAAAGTCTGGGTCAGGGACCTCTGGCTCTTAATGCTGACTTTTTATTTTACAACTTGATTAGCAGAATGAACTATACTCAGGGCTGTAGCAGAAAATAGCTGAATGCAGCCTGCTTGTGGCCAGATCATGGCCAAGCCCATGAAGAGCAGGCATGGTTTGTGTAAGTTCACAGCCTGCACTGACACTTTCCTCGTGTGGGATGTAAGCACCAGCTTCTGAATGCCTTGTTCTAACAAGGCAAAGAACTAGGTGGTAAAGCAGAAATAAGAGGCCCTTGGAGACACATGGAAGGGAAATTCAGGAGAACTCCCCCTTGCTGTCAGCGTGGCTGATGTCCACACCCAAAACTGTATTGAATGGTTCTCCCAGGTGATGGTCCTCACCAAGGGTCTGTGTCTTTGCCAGTAGGCTGGAATGTGTATTGGATGTAGCATGCACATCAATTTGTAGTGTGAAGAGAAAACTATGCACTAAAAAAGCTAAAAATTCAAGAGAAAATATCCTTAAGGGTGTCCAGTTTCACCAGGTGTCAGAAAGGGTGTTTGTAAATCAACACCAGGTCTTCATGTCTAGAAGAAGAGCAAGTTAATTATCCCCTGCCTGACACAGAACTGGTTTTGTGTGATTTGCGGATTCTGATCCTTGTCTCCTTAATCTCCCTTTTTTCTTTCACCACCCACACAAAGCTTCTTTCTACTTAATTCTTACTCCTGCCTGACGGTACTAGTTAATACCTCCAGTCATGGTGCCAGGCTCCAAATACTCTGCTGACAGCCTCCTGCCCCAGCCAGCAGGAGCAGCCCTGTGGTGCTGGGCACTGCTGGGGAGCAGCACATAGCCTGACTGCTGTCCCCTACAGGATCTGCAACATCTGTACAGACAGCTTGTGAGACCTGCAGCCCACAAGGTCTCTCCATCCATCAGCACAGCAGGATGCCTGGGGTGCTGCAGAGCTCTGCAGGCAGCACAGCACCATTTCTTTAGTCAAAGTTGGCAAAAATAAAGCTAATAGAATAGCAGCATGAGAGAAAGCCTTATTTTGTAGTTTCTGTCCAAACCTAATCCAACTTTCCAGTAACGATTTATTTTTGTGAAACTTTAAAAACAGCACAGTTCACTGCTCCTCTGCATCACTATCTGGCAGAGTGTGTTGGTTTCTGCCCACATGTGCACAGGTACAGCAACAAACAGATTTCAATATGAATAACACTCACAGTCTGGTATGTAAATTTTTGCTGACTTGATTTTTTAAAAAAACCCAAATCCTATACTATAAGCCATGGCTTGGGCAGACCAGATAAACCAGAAAAGAAAGCCCATATTGTGGATTACATGAAAGTGTTTTCCATGAGAAAAGCCATGCCAGAAGAATGCTTCTAAAAGCAGGTCCTTCTGCGGCCTTTCTGTGCTCAGGACAGCAGAGTCCAGCATACTTTTTCCACTAGCTCCAGCAATTCAGAAAATCCTTCTCACCTGCAAAGCAAAGGCTTAAGGAAATACAGGGTGGTTGGACCTAACTCAAGAGCATGATGCTGGGGGTCCTGTGCCAGAGTTGTGCTGGAGCAGCTGGTCCCCTGCCTGGCTTTAGGGCAGGGAGCTGGCATTTCTGGGCCTGGGCACTGCTCGCAGTTGCTCTTTAAGGAAGCTCCTCTGAGCTGAGATGGAAAGATGAGCAGCAAATTACATTGCTATAGGAATCCAGGTATACAATCCATACTAGTGCTATTTGTCACACAGAGCCACATTTGGATGTGGGAATCATGTTTTGTCATGAAAAAGACCAGGTTAGACTGGGCTGTGAGTAAATCTGTCTTAAGGGCTGACCTGAATCAGTCTGGCAGGCTGTGCGAGTCGCAGTGTCCTATCTTGGTCTCTAGCTGTCTTCCAGAGATGGAGGTGGTCTTCAGAAGCACTGCTCTTAAGAGATGATGAACTCCTTCAGCTCCCTGTGCTTTAACAGCTGTGTAGTTCCTTCTTTTCCTTTTTTCCATGGCTGGGAAATTGGGTCTCATGTTTCAAATATTAATGCATGAAGAAGTGGACTTTCAAAGGTGCTACTTTAACACTTTTTCCACTGTGAACTGGTGCGGTCCTGTTCTGTCTTTTAACGAGTCAGCTGGTAGGAAAGCTGCTGCATGTGTTTCTGAGGTCCTCATTTTCAGTTTATTTCTAGTAGGAAGCTTTTAGTGATTCGGATCCCAGCTGTTTGTACCTCTTACCTTCTCATGCCTGCTGCAGACCAGAGCAGAGTCGCACTGATTTTTGCTAAGGAGTTTCTTCAGACAAATAAATGAGAAGTGGGGCTAGGTCTTGAAATTATTAAAAATGAGTTTTCATATGTAAATTCACCTAAACTACTTCCCTCCTTACAAAAATTTCTGGAGGAGAAATAGGTGAGTTGATGATAAAATAAATCACCCATTTGAGTATCGCTTTGAGTATCTGCAGAGATGGGCACTCAGGGCCCTGTGCGTGCACACCACACAGCCCCAGTTCAGAGAAATCCCCATTCTGCATATTGATGCCCTCTGTTGGACTGTGCTTTTCAGGTTTTTTGCTGTATTTGTGAATTGCAAAGGCACATCCATGAGTAACCACACTTCTGTGTAAGGCTAACCGACAATAGTAAAAGGTTTTTTAGTTACTGGCTTGACACAGAGCACTACACTGCTAGCAGGCAGCAGCAGGTTTGCGTGAGCTCTGCAGACTCGTGGAGACAAGACGATGGCTACGAAGGGGGATACAGCTTGGGGATGGGGGGCGGACTGTTTATATGACTGTATATAAATAGTGATGGGGAGCAGCTGGCAAATACACACAGCAAGCCATGAGGAAAGGACCGGGTGGACAAAGACACTGACACGTTTGGTCTCTGAAGAAGGTGCAGAGATCTCTGCGCAGTTCCCACGCCTGTTCCAGACAAAGGGTTGTTAATTTTCTGGCTATGCAATTAGCCTGGCTCTGAAAGCTCAGTGATAGATATTGTACTACGTCCCTTGGGAACCTGGTTCATTAGTTCATAATTTTAATTAAAACTGCACTTCTTAATTTCTTTGAACTACGCTGACTTCACTGGAGTTGTGCCATTATCTAGCAGAGCAGGAGGACACACCTGATGCTGGCTGTAACCACTGCTCTGCATGATCCCAAAGGACAACCAGAGGGCTCGGGTACTTTTAGCACTTACAGACACTTGTTACTGGGAGCATTTCCCTGATACGTGGCTGATCCCACCTCCTGCACCCAGCCATGACTCCTTTGGGTCCCATTGCTGCTCCCAACCCTGAAGAACGAGCCATTTACCTCCTCAGTGCTTCAAGACTCGGGAAACATCTTCAGTGGTGCATCAGGAGTAGAGGTTAAAAGGGCAGGATGACAGGGTGGGTTTGTGTGATCCCCACAATGTGTTGCTGGTTGTGGAAATTAGAGTGAAAAACGAGCGTAGAGATAAAGAACCCCCCTCACACACACTCAATGTAACTGGTGTTGTCTGGCTGGTATCCAGTCAGATCGGTCAAAAAATTGCTGGAGATTACCAGGGGTGAGATGTATTATGCGTTCTGCAGAGGCTGAACAATGGAGTTAACCTACAAGTGAGGAAAGAGCCTGTGCCAAGAGATTTTTATCTTCTGTGAATGAGCTGGATACTGAAGGGCTCCTGACTTTTATGAAAGGCAGGAAACTCAAGCTACTACTTTATGAGCCAAGAGCTTTGACCACCTTGAAGCAACGTCTGTGTCATTAGCCTGTCTAGATGGCCCCAGATGCGTCAGAACACCAGCGGTGGCTAACGCTGCCAGAAATGCTCCCAAATCCCTCAGCAGCCACTGCTCCCAGGGCACCCCCTGCCCTGATGGGTGATGGGGTCGGGGGCTGCTGATGCTCACCGGGCATCCCCCAGCCAGCCCCTGCTGCTCAGCCTCACCATGCTGCTCTCGGTGGCTGAAATAAGTTTTCTCTCCTGAGTGTGTGTTCTGGTTTATTTTAGAGGGCAGCCAGGTCTCCTCTGTCTTAATTTTGTAGCCTAAACTACCCAGCCATTTACTGCTTTGTGCCTCTTGGAGTTTATGCAGCTCTCCTGCAGGTAGGTGGCAAGAGCTGCCTTCGCTTCATGTGCCAGCCCCATGCGGAAATATGAAACTCCGTGGCAGACCCTTAATGACCAGTGCTGTTAATTCCTGTTCAGGCTCACCCTTCCTCTGTCACCACTGGTATTCATTGCCTCCCTCATAGCTGGTTCCTTCCTACTCTGTAACACGTCTTTTAGCTCAAGTGTCTTCAGTTTGCTAATCTCCCTTTGATGTCACCTCAGCTGCTCCTCTGAAATCCGAAGAGATGAGCTCTGAGGGGCTTCCTTTGACTTTCAAAGGAAGAGAGAACAAAGTCTGACAATGTTTCTCTTTGCAAAGTCCATATTTAATGTTGTATTTTGCATTGCCTCTTACTCTTTGAAAATTTGTTTTTAAGACCTAGCTTTTTACTGCAATTAGACTACTGGACCTTGAGTTTACATCATCACTTCTCCCCTTCCTTCTGCTTTTTTTCATATAGCTGACTGAATTTTTCTGTTTAATATCCACTGCCAGGTGTTCGTTGGTATGGGGACTGCCGGAGGTGACAACCAAATGTTTTTTGACCTGTCATGTATTGCTACCTTTGTTTTTATTCCTTTTTCCATTCCATTTGTAGTCTCTGCATGCTCCAGCTACTCTTCTGGTGAAATGGAGACCTGGGCTTGCAGTGCTGCTCCACACCTCATCCCTTCTGCATGAGATTCAAGTCCCAGAATTCAGAATCAGACCTGTGTTTCTTTCAGGTTTAGTCTAAATTAAAGAAGTATGTGCTCAATTTATTTTCTTTCCACAAGTTCTGGCACTATCTACAGAAGCAACTGTCACTGCATGTTGCTCTTGAGGGTTACGTGCATCTTGTGGCACTGCCACCTCCTGTCTCTGCACTTAGCATCCCCTGCCTGCTGCCTTCATGGCTGTCCTCATGTTTGTCTCTGCTCCCCAGGCAGATAAATCCCTGCTCTCCTGCTCGCTGCCCTTGGCTGGTGACTGCTTACCTCCTTCACTCTCCTGCATCTGCCAGTGCTGCCCTTTCATTTAGTGCTCCACAGTTCATGGTCCAGCAGCTGAGAGTGAAGCTTAAGTAGGAAAAGGCTTATTCACGCGGATCAGGTGATGGGGCACTGCTGCAAAGCCTGGGCCAGGGAACAAAGCATTTTTGGTGCTTGCCAAGTTGCCTCTAAGGATGCAGAAACCACCTCCTGTGCGACCCCTCCCCTTAACAGAGGGGATCCAAGCCTCCCCACACGGCTATGGGGTGCATGTGGTTGCACAATGCAACGTTTGTGACTACCATGCCCTTGGAGGAACAGGTAGACAAAACATAGCTGGTTTTTGCTTCCTATCTATTTATCAGCCTTAGCTAAAAATTAATGGCATGCAACTTCCACCGTAACTGCAGACTTGGGCAGCCAAAGTCTTCCCCTTGTTGCAGTTTGTAGATATCCGCGTTCTAGTTAATTATATAATTGAGATGTTTCCAGTGATTTAAAAGACTTCTGACTAAGCTGTTGGCATAATGGGGAAAACTGAAAGCCAGAGTCAGGGGGAATCAAGAATGCAACAGAAGTCTTTGAACCAGCTTCTGATTTACATATGAATAACGCTGATCTGCAGAGGGAATTGTGTCCAGCCATCCCCAGCAGAGGCACTGGGCAGGAGCCGGTTCCTTGCTGGGAATGCTCCCCCAGTTCCTATTAGGCTTATTTTCACTCCCGTGCTCTCATGACCATGTATTTCTGCCTAGTTACACGGGATCTCATCCAGATAAAAACATCCTTGATCCCAGGGACACCGAGCCACGGAGCCCAGTGTGACTGCGGTGCACAGGATAAGGCCAGCCACGTAGTCCTGGAGGCCAGCGATCCATCACATGCTGATAGAGAACACGCAACAAGGAAGGTGTTAACGTGACAAGGAAGGCGTTAACGTGCTGTGGTGGTGGTGGGACCCCGCTGCAGGGACACCTGCTCTGCTGTGTGGGCAGCGGGCTGCTCCTCTGCGCTGGGCTAAAGGCGCTGGCCTCGCGACCTGCGTCAGCTGCTTGCGTGGCCGCTGAGCAGGTCTGCCACTCCCAAGGGTGCTGGAGATGAAGGACTTTGTGGGTTTTTACTTAGAGGAGGCATTCAAGCACAGCGTATAGCCTATAAACTGCTTAGGAGACTCTAAGCTTTACTTACTGCTCCTTCTGGGGTAACCGGCGTCATGTGCCTAGTCTGACTAATGCTTTTTAAAATGCAGTAGATTAAAGGTGAATGTGTTGTTTTGGATTTAGTGGTGAAGTGACAGCATTTCTCATCTGTTCGCACACAGCTAGTCAGGGAGGATAAGCACTTCCCCTTCCTGAAAGCTGCAAGTCATCCTTGAAGGTAACGACTGCACTTCACTGATCACATCCCTGCCCTCTGCACACACGTCTGCACAGCACACCTGCGTGATCTTGCCCTAGAGTCGTGATATGTTAGCAAGTGCAAGCTATGAACTTTCATTTAGTGGTGTTTTTATTTCAAACACCCTGTGTATGATTTTTCTGAATGTCATCTAGGAAGGTGTAGTGGGTTCGTTCTTTGTTTTCAGCATTACCTCACCACTAGAAAGAGGGGATGAGCCATTTGTTTTGAGGGATGTACAAGAAAGAAAGGTCTCTCAAACAGTCTGCGTGCCTCCCCGTGCCTGGGCTGGTGATTCCTAAAGGGGGCTCTGCAGCCATACACTTCAGCTCCTGGATGCAGTAATTCTAGCATGAGTATAACGGGTTTAAACTGCACTTTGATTTCCAAATGGTCTGAGCAAGCCTTGTTCAGACCTTGAGGCCACCCCAGATCCCTTCAGCGCTGTGGGATGCTCAGTGTTATGTCTGAGACTCAGCATTGAAGGAGACAGCCAGCCCTCTCAGGCTGCACTGGGACCCTGCGTACCTGCTTGTCTTCTCTTTCCCTTCTGATCTCTGTTGCCTGCCTTTTGGTGCTTCAAAACTCATTTTTCCACTTGCCCCTCCCCCAGAATTTTGGTACTGACAGCTTGTAACTGAACTAGTTTTTGTTTTGGAACGTCTTGCTTTGGTTGCAGGGAGGAATGGGGCAATATTAACAGGCTTTGTTTTTACTTCTGAGCACTCTGCTCTGTGCTGGAGCTGGTTTGGACTAACCCCACATTCACAGCAATTTATATTTAATCTGCTGTCCAGATCTAGTGCTTCTGAGCCACCTCAGTCCATGTGCCTACTTTTCCATCCTATTTTGGGCTCCTGGGTGTGCTTTGACGCTTCTTCTGTGTAGCTCAGCCTTCCAAGCTTCAGCTTACGTGAAATCCCCAAGACAGCCAGCTTATGTCACCATCATCCATCAGGGACAGCCGCACAGAAATCTTCAGCTCAGTAGATCAGCTCTTGCTCCCATTCCTCAGGGAAGAAGAAATAAAAGCTTAGTGAGAAGGCAGGCACACCACCGAGCTGCGTGTGCAGCATCATGACATTTGAAAGGAAGAAAATAACATAAAACACAGATTTGTTGCAATCCCCATTCTTAAATGTTATATAAAGTAATTGTTTGGTACTGCATTAGGACAAAAAAATAAGTACCTTGTACAGAAGTGGTTGTTATTCTCTTAGAAACACAAAACTACTTTATTGAGGAGATGGTGTCAAAGTGTCCTATAGAGCTTGCCTGAGTGGGCCCAAGGTGCCGCATACAGACAACGTATGCCACCTGCCTCTTTATTTGGTGGAGCCTGGCCTCATCCCACACCCTTCTGTGGCTGGGCCGAAGGAGGCTCTAGGTGAGAGACCACAAAGAATTTCCAGGGGTGTCTCCCAGAGGGCTGCTCTGCAGTGGTTTTGTTGTGCAGAAGGCCCAGCAACTTCCCCTCCTGTGACCTCTGCTGACAGTCACAGTGACTTGGGTCGGGCGGCCTTGCCTTGGCCTTGTCTTGGCCTTGCCTCAGGCAGCCTGCCCTGGCTGCCCGCCCCAGCAGCACACAGGGCCATGGCTGGAACAGGGGTGAGCAGCCCGGGGCTCAGCTGCCTCGAGGACAGGCACCAGCGAGCCCAGAAGGAGGGCAGCAGAGCGAGGGGCCACCGCAGAGCCCCGGTCACCACAAGAGCAGGCTGCCAGCTGCCACCGCATCAGAGGTGACAGTGTGTGACACCACGGGCTGTATTAGTCAGGTAGCTATTATCTGCTGCTCAATCACTTTTGGCCCTCACCAGATCTGCATGCTATTTGTTTACTGAACAGTCTCTTGCCATGCTGTGAAGTAATGTGAGAATTGCATGCTTGAGGAGCTGGATGCAGGGCTGCTCCGTTGGATGGCTGCTGTTCTGTGTTGCAAATTAATGACATTGCACTGGGTTTGTAATCAGCAACAATTAACTCACCACAGAGGTTGCAAGAGAAATCTTCAGCCCACATCACAGGCACTTCTGATCCCTTTCACAGAGCAGAGAGCCACAGCTGCCATGCCTTGCACAGACACACAGTTTTCTGTACAGAAGCAGGGCTGGAAGTGTCTGCAGGGCTCTGTCCAAAATCATGAGCTGGGAGCCAGGAAGGGAAGAGCCCAGAGTTAACAGGGACCCGCAGGGACCCTTCCTGCCAGCCCTGTGCACAGCCAAGGGCCATTCCTGGTACCGGGGATGTAGCTAAACCTGAACTCTCTGCAGATCCCACTGGGAGCCCGGGGAGGATCCCAGCTTGCTCCCCAACCTGGCACTTCTCTCACTTTTCCTTGTGATGGAAAGGGTGTTTAGAACACTCCCTAGGCCTGAGCCTCTATTCAGGAACTTTTTGTCCAAAAATGACTACATCTGCATTTAGTTTCCTTCTTAAAAACTTCTGATGCCCCTTCTCCCCCTCTGATCGTGCCTCTCCTGGGCCTTGCTGCTGCAGTGAATCCCTCACTAGCTCCGTGTTGGATCAAGGATGCTTTCTCTCTCCCCCCCCATGAGGAAGGAGCTACAGACCCATTGCGGTGGCATTGTGCCACCCCGCAGCAGGGCTCAGCACTGCCCCTCTGACGGAGGCAGGGACCCAGCTGGCCAGCCAGCTGCCTGTGCAGATAATTGCGATATCAGTGAGATGTAATTAGATCATGTTTATTTCATCATCGGTTATGCCAGGCTCTCATGGAGACATCTTTATTGCCTTAAATTTAAATTAATTAATTAAATGGCTGATTTAGTCAAGCATCACATACAGAAGTGGAGAAAGATTAACATCTAAAACCTATGTAAGGTTTACAGGGCTTGCCTGTTTAGCATGCTTCATTCCTCTCTAAAGACTTCATCATGCTAGGTCAAGAATGAAACGTGATGTGCACCAACCACAGGTGGGCTGGATGTAGGATCCACACCACAGTCCATATTCACTTCACCTGTTGTTGGGATCTGCTCTGTTTTTGCACAAGTCCTGGATGTAAACTGGCTCAGCTGGTGGGTAACCGAGGACAGCAGTGATGTGCCTGAGAAGGGCAGGCAGCAGGCACATTTGGGACATTGCCTGAATTCAGGGGCATTGCACACGTGGAACTCAGGGTGGCTCCAGCATCTCTCTGCATCCATGCTTTCTGGATGGCTTTTGGAAGTAAGCTTATGCAGCCCATCACTGCTCTTGAAGTCCTTTTGTAACCTTCTCTCCCTCTGCTGTCTTCATGCCTGCTCCCAAATCGGTGTAGATGTTCTGACAGCTCAGGGACTGGTGTTTTATTTCTGTCATCCTGCTTTTTCTCTTGCATTGTTAGATCAAGACGGTTGTCTCTTCTCTTTCACTGAACCTGTTATAATGTAAGAGCAACAGTGACAGAAGGGTATTAATTCATCTACAGACATTTATTGGCAAAATTCTCACATCCCTCAAAAGCAGAGGAACTCTAACTGTGCTATCCTTAGCATTTAATTACAGCATTTTGTGACGCATTTAGGCTGGGTTAAGCAGGTACTGCTCCTTTGGCATCTATGAGGTAGATGCCTTGTTTGGGATCCAAGCTTGGCTGTTCGCTTCTAAACGTTATTAGACTTCAGATGGAATTGCTTCCAGCTGCTTTCACAAAGCCCAAGTATTGCCAGGGTCCCACATGATGTCCCTTTTCTGCCAGACTGCGGCCTCCCATAGAGAGTTCTTCGAAAACCAGTTTCAACAAAAACAAATTATTTTGGAATATAATTGCCTCTCACCCCCTTAAATTTCATTGTGCTCCAAAGAGTTTCCTGTAAATAGATTCCACTCTTTGGAAGAGCCTTGTTATTCTGCAGTGCTGATGGAAGCCAGCCCTCACCAGGCTCTGCTCCATTAGTAATTCTTGGACAGGCAGTGCTCAAATAGCTCGTTCTGTGATAAAACGTCACATTTCTTCTCCCCACCACCACTTGTGCTGATATTCAGCTCCTGCAGGAAACCATATGGCTTCCAGAAGTCTACCCACATACCTATACATGCCTACGCAGCCCATGAGTCACATTTACTGTTTGGATGCCCCCTGAGTCACGCTGAAAATCTGTGAAATTTCCATGTCTATTTTCCATGCACTCTCTTAAGAACTTTAGACAATTATGCATAACCATTTGCATATGTATGGCTTTTCCTATTCTGTTCTAAGCTGCATGGATGTAAATGTGCTGGTGGTACTTATTTTGGGGAAAATTTTATCTAGATATTTGCAGAATATCGAGGGTAGCTGCTGTGTGGCCTTCAGTGGGGTGCGGGCATCTCTTGAGCGCACCTGAATCTTTGTAGCACATCCTAGGGACTGACTAAACCCCATGCCAGCAGGGCTCAAGGAAAAGGGGCACACATCCATCTTCATGCCATCAACTCCTCTGCTGCATGGACTCCAGTCTCAGCTGGGCATCAGGCAGGGCTGTCTGCCCTCCACCAGTCTCACTATATGGTAATTCTGCTTTCCCAGCACAGTGTAGGCAATGTGTGAACTCTGGCTGTTGCTTTTTGCAGAGAAAAAGAGGGAAAAGAGAATTCTATCTTCCTCTGTGAAGGGCCAGCACAGAAGATGCATTACATCCCAAATTAAGAACAGCAGCCGCAAGTTATGCTGTGGCAGCTATGAGTGATGTGATGAGCCTGATCAGAAACAGCTATTTTTGCAGCTGTACCCCAAATGTACACCATTGTTAGGTGTCAAGCAGGAAAATCTCACAACCTACCTGAGGACAAGGAATGTTTAGATCCACTGTTCTGCTCCAGAGCGTGTCAGTTGTCTGTTTGCAGTAAAGGCTCCATTGTCCCTCTGTAAGCATTGCCCAACCTAATGATAATCCTGTGGCC